GGTTGCCAAACCCGTCACGAGGGACATGAAGGTGCGCAGAAGGAAGATCTCTGGTGTAATTCTGCCCCGCAGTTGTGTATGCGTCTGCAGCAAACTGGTGACGGCAGTCGAGGGGTCGCCAGCCAACCATGAATCTCGAAATAGGAACTCATAGAAGTCGCAGACGAAGATGGAGATGGCGGGCACGATGTAGAGGAGGGTGAAGAAGCCCAGACGGGTACTGATACCGTCCCATCCGAGGCTGCGCCGACAGCAGCAACACATCTGTCCCGAGAAACAGCCAGAGGAGGCTTCACTTGTGCTCACGCCCTCATAGCTGGGGTCCAGGTAACCCTGTTGTTGGTCCGACTGGAAGGCCAGGCAACGGGCCGGCGGCACGTCCAGATTGGACATGGTGGTACTGTGCGCTAGACCGTCGCAACTCTTGCGAGCCGCCAGCCTGCCCTGTCGATGCAGGTAGAATGCGCAGACGACAAAGGCAACCATGCCCAATAGCAGGAAGAGGAATTGCGGCACCAGCATGAATATCAGCATCGTCCGGGTGTTCTGGCGACCCACGCTACAGATACCCAGCAACTCGTCAGCATCAACCTAAAAAGGAAGGGAGCAAAAAAGGAGTTGCTATTGATAAGGCGGACTACTGCTTTGCAGTGCAGAATGACTGTGCAAAAAATATTGTTAATTCAGGCTTCATTCGCAGCATGCTGAGCGATATATGGCCACTATAAAGTGCACTGCTATGGACGCACCTGAGTTCGCCGAGTATAGAAACTTCTCCCATTATTCCGGGGCCTTGCTTTTATTCGCGGGCGATTAGGGTTAGTGTGAAGGACAGAGCCAGGGTCACGGTAGTGGTTAGACTAACGTTTAGGGTCGGTTTTCGGGGATTTTGTGTAAAACCACTTGTACTGCCAGGGGGGCGGTTCCTATTTCCATGTCTTGCCAGTTCATTGCACACCCACATACGCAATTCAGACCGATTTGACAGCATATTCTTCTGTTGACAGTAATCATTTCCTCGATTTCTCGGTGCAGTGCAAGGTGCGCTGACATTCGTCTTCTGGCTACGGCATCATATGGACTAGCCACCAGGACATAGAGATTCACCACTATTCCCGTAATACAGGTGATCTTGCAGGGCAATGACCTTCCGAAAATGTCCATTGCATGCGTCCACAAGCCGATAGAAAACGCGGTGACCCACCCGTATTTTCGCTTTAAGTGGAAGTAAACTTGGGTCGCGTCTCTTGCACCCTATCCCCCCCCGCTTGGATCCCAGGTCATGGCCAAGGCAAGAAGGCCGAGGGCGGGAG